TGGGGCAGCGAGCTAGGAAGTGGTCCCTGACTGAGCGCAGAGTGTCAGGGAGGCGCGTGACTAGGTGGTAGAGAGTGAGCCAGAGCGGGGGTGGGTTCTTGGCAAGGAACTCATCAGGCATAGCGGCGCGGAAGCGAGCCTCACTAGTGCGGAGGTGGGTAATGAGATCAGCGACAGTGTGGAAGGAAGCTAAGTCGGGGAACAGGTAGGGAAGAGAGAGACGGCCTAGAGCGGCAGAGGCCGGCGGGCAACGACAGCAGTGTACAGTGCCTGTGCAGTCTTGTGCTGCCCAAAGTGCTCGCGCTCATCTATCGGCAGAGAGTTGCGAATAGCGAAGCGAGTATGGGCGTCACGAGTCTGCCACTGTGAGCGGGCAGTGCTGTCAGCAGTAGCAGCAGGAGGAGTAGCGTGGCCTAAGGCATGATCGTACAGCGAGATGTCTTCCTTGGCAGTGAGCTGTAGAAAGAGGTGTAGGTCATCAAGCCAGGTGTCGAACATCACTGGGCGGCCCTCAGCATCGAAGGCTAGCACAGGAGGGCTAGCCATGGTAGCAGCAGTAGGATAAGCAGTAGGAGCAGTAGGGTAGGTAGGGCGGCGCGGCTCGGTACAGGTAGGGCGGTGCGGCTCGGTATAGGTAGGGCGGCGCGGCTCGGGTTGGGCGGCGCGGCTCGGTTCGGGCGGCTCGGGTCGGGCGGCGCGGCTCGGTTCGGGCGGCTCGGTTCGGGCGGCTCGGGTCGGTTAGGGCTGGCGGCTCGGGTCGGGTGGCTCGTTTCCGTTAGGGCTGGGCGGCTCGGGTCGGCTCGGTTCGGGCTGCTCGGTCTGGGTGGGGCCGTTCGGGGCCGCTAAGGGCGTGCGCGGGGAGCGGGTGGGGCCGTGAGGGACGAGCGCGGGGCCGACGTGGGTGCTAAGGGCGAGCGCGGGGCCTATCGGGGCCGTGAGGGACGAGCGCGGGGCCGATCGGGGCCATAAGGGACGAGCGCGGGGCCGACGTGGGCCTCTAAGGGCGAGCGCGGGGCCTATCGGGGCCGTGAGGGACGAGCACGGGGCCGATCGGGGCCGGAAGGGACGAGCGCGGGGCCAACGCGGGCCTCTAGGGGTAAGCGCGGGGCCGATTCGGGGCCGTTAAGGACGAGCGCGAGGCCGACGCGGGCCTCTAGGGGTAAGCGCGGGGCCGATTCGGGGCCTCTAAAAGCGAGCGCGGGGCCGACCGAGGTCTCTAGGTGCGAGAGCGCGGGGCCGACGGGGCCTCTAGGGGCGTGAAAGCCGAGGCGCCCTAGGGCGCAGGTAGGTAGGTAGGTAGGTAGTGGTGGGCCCTAAAAAATCGGTCCTAGGAAGGACCTGCTCTATACCATGTTGAACAAGAATGGATGAACTAACAGTGAAATGAGTACAAGTATGAAAACCTAGGAATGTGTACCCCCTATAGGCTAACCCACTGTGGCCTAAACAACTACAACAACATATATAATGTTTGACACTATGCTCTTCTCCGCTGCTAGGAGGGCCTTCTCTAGGAGGTCAACAGTGAGAGTGGTGGGACAGACTAAGAGAAAGTGGTCTCTGACTACACGAAGGGAGTCAGGGAGACGGGTGACGATGTAGTAGAGAGTGATGTAAATGGGGGGGGGGGGTTCTTGGCGCAGAACTCAGCAGGAAGCGCAGCGCGGTAGCGAGTGTCACAAGTGCGGAGGTGCGTAATGAGGTCAGCCACAGTGGGAAAGGCAGCAAGGTCAGGGAAGAGGTACGGTAGCATGAGGCGGCTCAGTGCAGCAGTGGCAGGGGAAGAGTAGCGCGCAACTACGGCGTCGTACAAGGTCTGAGCACTCTTGTACTGACTAAAGTGTGCGCTCTCAGTGGTAGGCAGGTGGCGGCGCACAGCAAGACGTGCAGCAGCATCGCGAGTCGCTCACTGGGAGCGAACAGTGGCGTCGGCATCGGCAGCAGGGGCAGGAGAGGCACCAGAGGTGAGGTCAAAGAGGGAGAGACCGTATGCCCTATCGCACTATAGGAAAAGCTGCAGGTCATCTACCCAAACCTCAAAGTCAATGGCCCGACCCTCAGCGTCAAAAGCGAGAACACTGGGGGTAGCCATGACAGCAGTAGACTAGCAGCGCTAACTGTAGGACAGGGGCAGTGCAGTGAGAGAAGCGCTGCTCTCACCAGACAGGGCGGTCCAGGCAGCTCGGCAGCACAGCAGCTCGGCAACACGGCGGCTCGGGCGACTCGGGCGGCTCAGCAGCGACTGCAGCTCTGCGGCACCAGTGGCTCGGCTCCTCAGCGGCTCAGGCGGCTCGAGCGGCTCGGGCGGCTCGGGCGGAACGGGCGGCTCGGGCTGCTTAGCGGTGCGGGCGGCTCGGTTGCGTAGGGCGGCAGGGCCGCTGGTAGGGCGGCGGGGCCGCAAGGTAGGCGGCGGGGCCGCAACGAGAGGGGCGGCGGGGCCGCAGCGAAGGGCGGCGGGGCCGCAAGGTAGGCGGCGGGGCCGCAGCGAGAGGGGCGGCGGGGCCGCAGCGAGAGGGGCGGTGGCGCCGCAGCGAAGGGCGACGGGGCTGCAGAGAAGGGCGGCGGGGGCCGCAGCGAAGGGCGGCGGGGCCGCAGCGAAGGGCGGCGGGGCCGCAGCGAAGGGTAGCGGGGCCGCAGCGAAGGGCGGCGGGGCCGCAGTGAAGGGCGGCGGGGCCGCAGTGAAGGGCGGCGGGGCCGCAGCGAAGGGCGGCGGGGCCGCAGCGAAGGGTGGCGGGGCCGCAGCGAAGGGCAGCGGGGCCGCAGTGAAGGGCGGCGGGGCCGCAGCGAAGGGCGGCGGGGCCGCAGCGAAGGGCGGCGGGGCCGGGACAGGGCGGCGCCGGGGCCGTAGGGCTAGGCGACGGGGCCGTAGGGCTAGGCGACGGGGCCGCTAGGGCGATGGGGCCGCTAGGGCGACGGGGCCGCTAGGGCGACGGGGCCGCTAGGGCGGCGCGACGCAGTCGCTAGGGCGGCTTGACGAGATGAGAGAGAGGAGCGCGACTCGGGCTAAGCGCGCTCCGGGCAGGAAAAAAAAAAATCGACTTGGTGGGCCCTAGGCACAGTTCCCACTAGGGAACCTGCTCGATACCATGAGAAAACTGAAACGAGAATGACTGCACTAAGGAATGAAAGTGGTACAAATATGCAACCCTAGAAATGTGTACCCCATATGGGCTACCCCACTACAGCCTACACAACATTATAATTTGACATATCGCACTTTGCTCAGCCACCAAGGAAGGACTGTACCTTCGCGAACTCCTGGAGGAAGCGAAGCTGGCTCAGTTACCAAGCTTCTCCTTGTTCTGCGACAACCAGTCAGCAATTCTCATAGCCAACAAAAATGGATTCGCGAACAGGACGAAGCACATCGCCCTGCGACATTTCTTCGTGAAGGACGAGATCGAGAAGGGGAGACTCGAGCTGTCTTGCTGCCCCACGTCCGAGATGGCAGCTGATTACTTGACCAAGAAACTCGGAGAGCAGAAGTTTGAGTACTGCATGCTGCTGACTGGACAGAGCCACGTCACCAGCAGCGACACTCCAGAAGCGAAAGGGAGTGTTGGAAACAAGTAACTTAAGCGTCTCTGTCGTGTCGAAGCACTAAGTTGTAAGCGAAGCAAAACACAGTGAAGCATCGGCGAGTCAACCCTCGGAGGTTGAACAACCGCTGGAGGTTACACGAAAGTCAAAGGTCAGCGACCTTTGACTTGACAAGTACAGCGCAACAGCAAGGACAAACAAATGAATCGTTATGAAGCAGTTGCCCGAGTCGTCACTGTATCGAACCGCAACAGCAACAACAAAACAGTTATTAGTTATAACCCCTCAAATTCCCTTGTACTCTTATAAAGGCTTGTATCTCTTTGTTTTAATCAATCTAATTTGCCCTCACAAACTTGTCACTAAACGCTTCCGCTATGACATTCTCTTACTCAGAGTTTATTCCTGCAAAGATCCTAGGGGCTTTTCTCAGCCCAACAAAATAACACAATCAGAGCATCTGCAGGTGTTCCGTTTCGTTTCTTTCTTCCATGTGGCATTGTTGTCCTACTAGCTGGCCCTTGCGTGGTGATGTGCTGCAAGGCGAGGTGGAGGACTGCCACTGCCGAATGCTGGTGGCCCACCAACAACTCAACATGCGCCGCTTCTGTGCTTACCCGTGCTTGCTTGTCTGTCCTTAGCTTTGCTTAGGTGTGGTTTGGTGTGCATATCTCTGCTTAGCTCTGCTTAGGCCCTTATCTTTGCTTAGGTGTGCTTTGTTGCGCCGTGCTGTGCTGGGATGGGCCTGCATGCTGTAGAGTATGTGGGTGGGTTGCGCAACCTGGAAGGCGGTTGGGCACAAGTACTCAAGCAGGGCAGAGCGTCCTCATGCAGGTGCTGTGCCGTGCCATGATTCCCTGACTCATGCTGTGGAGTGAGGAGGACAGAGTGGGCACAAACTCCTAAGCAGGACAAAGTGTCCTGCAGGTGCTGTCCGTGCCGTGCCGTGCCATGATGACTTGGCTGCTACAGGCTGGGCCTTGGTTCGCGGTGCTGAGCTGAGTGAGAGTGAGGTTGAGATGAGCGGCACACAAGTGGCAATGGTGAGAAAGTGGAAGTGCAGGAGACTCAACCATATGGTGCATGGAGCAGGCATGCACATACACAACCAGCCATACATGAGCTAGGCACAATCCCCCACGTACAAGCTGGGATGGCAAGGACTGACAGGAAGCAGCTAATGCTCGCATCCTGTTAAGTGTTGGAGCAGTGTCGAGCGGTAACCACAGCTACCAAGTACACTTGGGGAATGGAAACTACACCACTCAGGCAGTATGTATAACCATAAATTCCCCCGGTGCCTCTACATCAATGATGCCACACCATTGAGCTCTTGAAAGGAGACGCAGGACTGCTCAAGCTTCCCACCCACGGACAAGTGCCTCTCCCAGCGCCCGTTTGTGACTTTCGAGTCGACAGAGATTGCCACAACATGCAGACCCAGTCCCTCTACCGCTTGGTCATGCAGACCCACGATGGATGTGATGTGATGCTCCTGCTTTGTTGCATGCTGAAAGAGTGCCGTCCACATCCTTTGAGCACCAGTATGCAATTCTAGCACCCAGCTCTGCCACCATCACAGTGTGCTTTCTGTTGCATTGTCCCAAATGCACAGGTGATTCACTCAGTACCATGAAATATTGGCTGTTCTGAGATTCTCAATTCCTGAGCTGCAGTCTCTATGTTCACACATCTTATTATTACCAAATGCTCTGGCTAGAATACAAGCAGCTTGATAGCGCGGATACTAATGTGAGCACATCACCGCAGAGCTACTCCAGAGACTTATCGCCACAGGGACGTCACCAAGCGTGGTGTCACAGGGTTGCCATCATAACAGTAATTTTTGTTCTAAGCGATCACAAAAGGGTAAGTGGAAGCGGCCAAAACACGGGTGCACCTAAAAGCAATCAGTAGGGCGAACGGAGACGGTTCTAGCGAGTGAACGGGAGGGTAACCTCAGCCTGGCTTGAACACACGGATTTAGTTACGCAGGAGGGTACGTAGACACTCCAGGGTACGGCGGCGGCGGACTGGACGGAATTTGGCTACCAACGCTCGACTCCATATCGAATTCCATGGCCGCCTCCTCCTCCTCGTCCGCGGCGCTTCGGTGCGTCCATTGCCGGTACTTGTGCTTCATCTTCTCCGTCAGCTTGTGGGGCACCCAGCCGTCGATCTTCGGCCGCCGGTGAATCTCCTCGGAGCGCGCGAGCTCGCGCGCGGATTTTAGCGCATCGAGGTCCTCGTTATGCTCTATAAGGCCGAAGTGGTGTACAGTGCAGCCGAGCATGAGAATAACCATCTGCGTCATGAAGATGAAGAAATAGAGGGCCCCGAGGATGCGTACGTACTGCTCCGCATCGTACATCTGGTACGGATCCGCGTTCGGTTTCATCGAGAGTACGACGTCCTTGAAACGGAGGAAGATCATCAGAGTCGATGCGCACAGCCCTGCTGCGCTTATAAACAGGCAGAACAGATGGCACTCGAAGCACCCGACCTGCCCAGAAGCTATCGTACCGAAGAGGCCGGAGAGGATGATGAGGGTGCTGAGAAAGAAGAAACCCCAGCCAGCGGGGAAGGTGGGCGGCGATTGGATGAGGAACACCATTACGATGGTGGCGGCGCCGCCCACGATGATCACCATGTTGAGGAAACGGAGGAAGTTCATAGCGAGGATGGCGACCGATCCCTTGAGGGATTTCTTCTGCTTCGCCATGGCGTCGCCGACGTGCGATGGAGGCAAGATGCGTCACTAAGGTCGCCTATGCGATGGCCGCTGAATCCTATGAGTCCTTAGAGTATCAGCAGCAGGCGCTGAGAATCAGGGAGGGGAGGTGAGGCAAATTTCTTTAGACCATTTGGTAAGAAAATTTCTTTAGACCATTTCTAATCGTGGGCAATTGAAAGGTGATGCTTTGAGGAAAACGAGCGGCAGAATGAGGAGAAATGTTGAAAATGAGCTATTTAGTCACGCATGGGGAGAATGGCTGAGAGGGAGCACTCAAGACGGGCGGTTCGAAACTGTCGAGTCGAGGGGTTTGTGGAGAGGGGCGATTTGTTGCAGCGTTGGGAGGTGGGGAGGGGAAGAAAGGATGAGGAGGCGAGGGGAACGGTCTGGGTGGAGAAACCCAGCAGCACAGCGGAGCACAGCAAAAGCCACCTGCGAAATTTGACCAATGCATCGCATCGCATTGTGTGATTTCGAAGTCGCGGCTCGTTCACTCAAGACTAGAGGAACGTGTCGCCCCTTGGTCGCCAAGGGTCGCCAAGGGTTCACGCACAGTGTCGCGTGAAGTTGGCCATTGAGGTAGAGCCGCGTGGCTTCATGAATACGAAAACATTCGTTATAGTCTTAGGAGAGAGTGAAGATTTTCGCGCCGCACCTGTGATGTCTCTGCTTGTGTCACAGCATCGTAACAATCACATGACGCGCTGTCCAGTAATGCGTGGGAAATAAAGCAGATGTAACACGCATGAGGCTGTTAACTGTATGAACTGGGATATGCTATATAGCAGCTATCCAAAGACATCATCATTCAAACAATCATCTTCAGGATAATCACAGAACTATATTACCTGAAGGAATCATTTATCTCTAATACACAGCTACGTATATTGCTTGGAATAGTGTGGCCAATTGAGATGTTTACATTATTGTAAATAATTAGGTTGTATGTGTGTTCGTCTGATAATGTGGTTGGGGGTTTTCCTCGTTATACATGCCGAATGCAAGTGTGTATCTCGTCTCGTGGCATGTGCTGCTGCCCCAACCATGAAAGCGACAGTCCTCCCCACCCTGACTACGATACAGTACAATAAAACGTTCGGCTGAAAGTTGATAATCGCGTGGTTATATGGACTATAGAATGGTTCGAATGGTACGTCAAGTCATTCCAAGCTTTTTATCGTCCTCTAGAAAGGCAGGTGGTTTGCTAGCAATATCCCAAGGACAAAAGGGAAAAAAACGAACATATGTTGTTCTGAGTAAACACAGAGCCGAACCCACCCCCTTGAAAAATCAGAAACACATTAATTGGCTCACTAAATGTTAGTGAAGCAGTTGGCAAAGGCTCTTGCTGCTGGCATAGAATGGGCTCGTATCACTGGGAACCAAGGCCCAGTTCGGCATTCAGACTCGCCATTATGGGCATTTTTAACGGGCCCCCAAAAGATGGCCCCAATAAACTGATGCGAAAACATACTGCAACTGGAGTGAAACCTCGAAAAAATGGGCCCGTATATTCGGTTGGCATTAAATGGGCCAATATTAATGGCATCAGGCGAAAATGACACATCGCAGAAGCCCATTTGCACCTGCGTTGATGGAGCGCATAATCACTGTACTGGTAGCCCAGGCAGCCCTGCAAACAAGTGGGAGACGTCGAAAAAAACCGGTCAAATGGGTGTTGCTTTCGATGTGTTAGTGATGGTGTGTTGGTGATGTGTGATTTTCCAGCAAGCACAAAGAGGGGTGTGAAAGACCGGGATTATTTTTTTCCAGGGCAAGAAGTGATTGCCCCGAATCAGAGACTTTCCCGCATGGTGCGGGATCTCGAGGCGGATGAGAAAATGACCAGTTTGCTTAAGAAATAGGGCTCGAGGAAGGTTCCGTTGGTGGAAAAGGTCAGCGATAAAAGGAGTGTTCGGCTGGCATTCCATTATTGTCTGGTTCGGCGATGATCTGCTTATATCGAGCCTAGATAACCTTTCACGCGCGTATCAATGAAGGTTCCAGGGTGGTCGGTTCACTGTAGCCCATAAGGGGAAACCGTTTTTTTTAATGCCTGCTGATTGGGCCCAAAGAATTACCAGCTTCCAGTTCCTCGTTAAAGGGTGCTCAGATGTCTGAGTCCACGTGGGTCCGGCTCGGACCTGACGGACCAGCTCAGAACCAGCGCGTGAACCAGGGCGGACCGGGATCAAGATGTGGGGCTTGTAACCCCGTTATACCGTTCGAATGCCACTAAAACGGTGCCATTTATTTGGCCCTCCAGACCAGTCCGCGCCTTGTCCGTAAACAGTTGTCAAATTATAATATTGTGTAGGCTATAGTGGGGTAGCCTACATGGGGTACACATTTCTAGGGTTGCATATTTGTATCACTTCCATTCCTTAGTCAATCATTCTCGTTCTACTTTCCTCATGGTATCGAGCAGGTTCCCCCGAGGGAACTGTGCCTAGGGCCCACCACATCGATCTTTTTTTTTCCTGCCCGAAGCGCGCTCAGCCCGAGTCGCGCTCCGGGCTCTCACCTCTTCGAGCCGCCCTTCTCAGCGGCCCCGCCGCCCTTCGCTGCGGCCCCGCCGCCCCACATTGCGGCCCCGCCGCCCTTCTTCGCGGCCCTGCCGCCCTTCGCTGCGGTTGCGGTGCCCCTCGCTGCGGCCCCGCCGCTGTTCGCTGCGGCCCCGCCGCCCGTCTCAGCGGCCCCGCCGCCCTTCTTCGCGGCCTCGCCGCCCTTCGCTGCGGCCCGGCCGCCTCACGTTGCGGCCCCGCCGCCCTTCGCTGCGGCCCCGCCGCCCGTCTCAGCGGCCCCGCCGCCCGTCTCAGCGGCCCCGCCGCCCGTCTCAGCGGCCCCGCCACCCGTCTCAGCGGCCCCGCCGCCCTTCACTACGGCCCGGCCGCCTCTCTCGCTGCGGCCCCGCCGCCCTACTCAGCGGCCCCGCCGCCCTTCACTGCGGCCCCGCCGCCTCTCTCGCTGCGGCCCCGCCGCCCTACTCAGCGGCCCCGCCGCCCCTTACTGCGGCCACGCCGCCTCTCTCGCTGCGGCCCCGCCGCCCTACTCAGCGGCCCCGCCACCCTTCTACTCAAGCCCCGCTGCCCTTCTCAGGGGCCCCGCCGCCCTTCTCAGCGCCGCCCTTTACCAGCGGCCCTGCCGCCCCTTCACTGCGGCCCCGCCGCCCCTTTCACCAGCCGCCCTGCCGCCCTACACCGCCCGCGCCGCCCGAGCCGCCCGAACCGCCCGAGCCGCCCGACCTGCCCGAGCCGCTCGAGCCACCCGACTTTCCCGAGCCGCCCGAGCCGCCCGACTAGCCCGAGCCACCCGAGCCGCCCGAGCCGCCCGAGCCACCCGAGCCGCCTGAGCCGCCCGAGCCGCCTGAGGAGCCGAGCCGCTGGTGCCACGGAGCCGCTGTTGCTGCTCTGCCGTCCGAGCAGCCGTGTAGCCGTGCTGCTGTACTGCTGAGCTGCCCGACCCGCCCTGTCTGGTGAGAGCAGCGCTTCTGTCACTGCACTGCCCCTGGCCTACAGTTAGTACGGCTAGTCTACTGCTGTCATGGCTACCCCCAGTGTTCTCGCTTTTGACGCTGAGGGTCGAGCCATTGACTTTGAGGTTTGGGTAGATGACCTGCAGCTTTTCCTACAGTGCGATAGGGCAGACGATCTCTCCCTCTTTGACCTCACCTCTGGCTCCTCTCCTGCCCCTACTGCTGATGCTGACCCCACTGTTCGCTCCCAGTGGGCCACGCGCGATGCTGCTGCACGTCTTGCTGTGCGTCGCCACCTGCCTACCACTGAGCGCGCGCACTTTAGTCAGTACAAGAGTGCTCACACCTTGTACGACGCTGTAGTTGCACGCTACTCTTCCCCTGCCACTGCTGCACTGAGCCGCCTCATGCTACCGTACCTCTTTCCTGACCTTGCTGCCTTTCCCACAGTCGCTGACCTCATTACGCACCTCCGCACTAGTGACACTCGCTACCGCGCCGCGCTTCCTGCTGAGTTCTGCGCCAAGAACCCCCCCCCCATGTACATCACTCTCTATTATATAGTCACCCGCCTCCCTGACTCCCTTCGCGTAGTCAGGGACCACTTTCTCTCATTCTGTCCCACCACTCTCACTGTTGACCTCCTAGAGAAGGCCCTCCTAGCAGCGGAGAAGAGCATAGTCGTTGTAGGAGCCTCTCGTGGTGACCCTCGCACCCCCATCTTTGAGGGGTGTTCCCCTTCCCCCCTGTTGCCCTCTGTCGCCTCTACTGCTGCGGCCGACCTCGTTGGTCTTGAGTCGGTCGGTGCGGCGTCTGCCCCTAGCGGGAGACGCCGCTCTGGCAAGGGCAAGGGGGGCAAGGGCGCGGGTGGAGGTGGCGGGGGTGGTGGAGGTGGCAATCGAGGCGGCGGAGGGAGTGGGGGTGGCGGTGGGAGTGGTGGCGGGGGTGGAGGTGTCGGTGGCAGCAGCGGAGGCGGAGGCGGCGGAGGCGGTAGGGGAGGGAGCGGAGGCGGCGGTGGTGGCGGAGGTGGAGGCGGCGGTGGTGGAGGAGCTGGAGCTGGTCGGGGTGGTGCTTCGTAGCGGAGCGGCTCCGGTGGTGGTCAGCGCCAGCAGCAGCGTTCTCGGGACATCCCCCCTCCTCAGCAGCTCCGTGAGTGGTACACGCAGCGTCAGCGTGGTGGGGGTTTTTGCCCGTGCACCTACGTCCTTCGCTCCGGCGACTGCGCGGGTGAGCAGTGTGGGGGTGCCCACCCCACCTAGCGCTGCTTTGGCCGCCTGACGGACGCTTGGCGTCAACAGTTCCCGGAGGCTAGTGAGATCCCCCGCTAGGGAGAGCTGTCTGGGCAGGTGTCGCTATCTATGATCTTGACTTTGATGTTATCCTTGCTGCCATGTATGCTGTGACTATTAGTGATGAGGATGACTGTTACCGGTGTTTCCCGCCCGACCCGGGCATTGGTACTGCTGCGCTAGGTGCTAGTGAGGCTGCTGCTCTAGGTGCCAGCGCGTCTGCG